GACCAATCTTCCCTAGAGCACTGATAGCAAGATTCAACTGAAATATGTAATGCTACGCGCCCACAAAACAACGTAAACCCAGTGGTGAAGAAGGCAGACTTCTACCGACAACTACAAACGGTAGTAGACAAGACTTCAATAGACGACTGACTACGTCAAATTCCTATAATGGATGGTAATAATTCCGAACTCGAAACAGACAACACATAAGAAGAGAACTCATTATGCGTCAGGCAGCTCTTGGCCTAATGTGAATGGGAACGGAGAATTGTCTTCAGACTTCGTCAAATTCAGTTATTTGGAGTAACTGAAGTCAGAGTGTACAAGCCAGAAGACATACACAAGAGAGGTGTTGCCTACCAGATGGATTTCATCTAAAAATCTCCAGGAAGTGGAGACGTCTTCCAGACACAAAACTTAATAGTGGAACAGGTATGTGCTCAGATCATTACATAATGCACGGAACTTTATCGATCAAGTTGAATGTCTTTAATATAAGCTGGACAAAGACCAAAATTAAAGTTCAACACTGAAGAATGAAATTGAAAAAGACACCTTTATTGAAGTATCGGCGAGACACCACCTGGTAAGCCTTCCTGGAAGAAAACTCGAGCTCTGTGGAAATGATGTTGACCCAAACGTGCATAGACGTCTTAGGAGGTAGAAACAGGAAAAAAAGTGATTCTCTAGGAACAAGTGGAAGCTGATAGAGGGGAGACGGACAGCGAAACCAAAGATGAACACACGCTTAAGTAGCCAAAAACAGAAGAAAAAAAGTCTGCAGCACAAAAGTGCCAGAAAAATGAAAAATGATGATTTGAGGACCCAGGTGAAAGACAGACCTCAAAAACACTGCGTGAAATAACAAGATTACCTTCTGAGAAAACAAAACCACAAAAATGAAGTAACAATAATAATAATTTGCTTTATTCCAAAACAGTACTTGTGAATACAGAATGGAATTCCCAACACTTTACTACAGTATTCCATCCAGTTTGTACATTGACAATAAAAAAATTCTACATAGATTAAGGGTAATCTCAGGTAGTTTTTGATAACAACATATTAGCATATCGGTCGGTAGCAAAACCAAAAGTGAACACAATATTAGCATATGTTAGAAGAGTAGTTACTAGCATATTTACTGGTGTAAGCGATAACAAAATGGTCGAGATATACAGTGTGTAAGAATGAAGAAGAATGTTTCATGTAGAGTTTGTAGGGAAGAGAGAAACAGCATAGCACAGCACAAAAAAACCAATGTTTCGAAAACGAAGAATTGGATCGGGTCCCAGTGGCTCAATGGTCTACGAGCTCGTCTTGTAACCAGAAGGTCCTGGGTTCGAACCCCTGTGGGTGCGTACTGATGTAGAGTCCCAAACTAGGACGAAACAGCTGTCCTGTATTCCCAGTGGTTCTCTAACTGATGTCAGCTCGTGATGAAATCCTCCATGCAAAAACGAGGAAACAAAAAATTGACAAAACAAGAGAAAAGGAAAAGAAAGAGAGAAAACGTTGTACCTATGAATGAAAGATAGTGAACGAAAACTAATTTACAAAGAGGAAAAGGAGAGCAAACAATAGGCTAATAACTTCGAAGGACTCTTGAATCGATCACAACGTGTAACTCATCCAGAAATATCACCAACAGCCACATTACTTACTGCCAGTGAACATCACCAATCCTCCGACAAAGCAGAAGTCCTCAATACCTCAAAGTGACTGAAAGCCAATCGAGAAAAGCAACGAGAATACTCAAAAAAAAAACACTGAAAACACAACCAGTGATCTGAGCAGATACGCCCACTGCACATCTGAAGAGTTTGTAAATGGGGGAAAGCTAGCTTATCTGTCTTCGATCATACGTGCCTGCCCGTGTGAAGTGGTATAATAAGGTGAGCAATATTGAGGTTAGGCATCTGTCGAGTGCTAGGTAGGTGGGAGGGGAAATCAATCGATGAGGCTGTGAAATTACACCGATTGAGACGGTTAGGACATGTGTTATGCATGCGCGCCCTAGTCATCGCCTTCTTCGACAATGGGCAATGTTAGCTGACATAGGATTGGTCAGTCTGGAAAAGAGTTAGCCAGTGGTGGTGAAACCAAAACATGGCTTCACCAGTCGATGAAATCCACAACAGTTAGTCTAAGTCATGTAGGAAGGTGTGGACTTCCGGATTGGAGTCCTCAAGACGGTTAAACCAATGAAGGCTGGAAACAATAGCTAATATGGATCAAAATCGTTCTCAATGGTCGGCTGGCGCAGGTGCATCCACTCCTTGTGAATTATGATTTCCAATGAAAGTATATTGTTCTTCGTTCGTTACTACTACACTCCTTTGTCTCACACCTCTGTGTACTGTCTCTATTATGCATTTCATTTTTACTTTCTTCTCTTGCTATGTGTGTTACAAGGAGTGGAGTGTGACGACTTGAACTGGTGCACATCGGTGCAAAGTTCTACTTCGAAAACAGACAGACAGACGGGAGGAGAGGTACCTGTCAATTGAAAGAATAGTTAACTAGTCAAAATGCGAAAAAAATGGGGTCGACTAGTGTCGAATCATCATCCTCCTGTGCACTACAACCACCAAATAATAGGCAGTGTCATCCAAGAGATACTGAAACATGCTCTGGATACACAAAACACCGCCTAGAATCAGCTGGATCATTCAGGAAAAGCAAATCGTCTCCGGGAACAAATCACCTTGACCTCATCGACTTTGGAAAAACATTGTACAGTCAGTCCACCATGAAGTAATCTCTGACTGCCTCAATACTTAAGGGTACCTGAAACCTTAATCAAACTCACGATTCACGAACGAAAGCTCAGAGAAGCGTCTAAAGTGAGGTGTGTATGTGTGCAAGACAAAGTTGTCTACTACCACTAATAATCTTTCCGGATCGTGGTGGACTAACTGGATCATGGAGGAGGAAAAGACGGGATAAAACACTGATATATATATATATGTAGACTTCGCAGATGATTTATGTCGTGTCACCAAAAATTTTAACTTACAGATGCTACAACCGGCAAGTTGGCAGAAGAGGAGGTGAAGATGGGACTTCACACTTGAACACATACATACAGGTTAGACAGAGGTGATAAACTACCTAAAGTGCTACAACAAGCACTAATCACCACTAAACAGGAGGAGGAAGTTACTTCTTTTATTAATTTAGGCAGCCTCTCGTTTCAACTACTCTAAAATCAATCACTGTGAGGTTCTACTGCACTACTTTTTTATTTTTGATTACCGCTTGATTCCACACTGTACTTAGGACTAAGAACAAGATCCCCATTTTCAATACAGTAATATGAACCCAGTTCTTCAGTTTGATTTAGAGAACTTGGTGCACCTCCAAAAAATCGCACATTTTCATCAATAGAACCTTTCCGCAGATACCGAAAATTAGATGGCCAGTTAGACATGATGCCTGTAGCACACATAGATGGCACTGAGATTGAAACCAAGACAAACAGCATTAAATACCTTGGATTAGTTCTTTCCTCTCTGACCTTTCATGGTCATCGCACATCTTATAAATCTCTCCAAGAAAATGTTTCGTCTACAACCTTCTACATTAAAAAGTTAAGAAATCAGGTATCAACCAACCTTTATTACCGTAGTTTGTAAACTCTTGTATTTTACCTATTGTACTCTAATGCTCTCCATTAATCTTACCTAGGCTTCTCTAAAATGACTATGTCTTATTACGAAGAGTATTAAATGCTGTGATTAGGGTTTGTGGTATGCCATTGCGTCAGCTTGTCAATATTATAGTCAAGAGGCATATAAAACCCTGTACGAAATGGGAAAAGGCCGTACTGTGAAACCCCTTTTATTCATCTCATCAGGTAGGACGAGAAGTCAAATATAACAAGTTATATACTCGCACCACTAACTACAAAAATTCTACAATATCGTATTTTATCTGATTGAGATACTGTTAGACGTGAAGCAAATAAGTTACTACATAATTAGCAAAGAAAATCGACCCCTTCATCCTTCTGTAATTTTATGGTATCAGCCTTCCCGAAACTACCTGCAATCTGATTTGTATATAATCACAGAAAACGAGATGACACTCGGCACGGACCAGTCCATCCCCTACAAACTCCAAACCAATATATGTTCACAGTGGCATTACCACATCATCTGCGATCCGACCGATTGCAATAGTTCGTCAAGAACATTCACTGCATTCGATGAGCTGTTATCACTATAGGTGCTGGTGCTGCAGACAGCGACGCAAAATCACTCATCTAGTGGAACGAATTTGAATCACAAAATTGTTAAAACTTCTTCAGACTACGTGTCTGAATGACCTTCCATGTCTACACTTTCCGGTTGGTAACTCAACACCCAAGAATTCAGCCCTCGTTGGTACGCCAATTTACTGCGTGCAACGACCTCAGAAACGTGTATCCCAAACGACTCTCATTCACCTCAGTTGTATCAAAAACGGACTAACTGCTTTCGTGACTAAACCGTCTGGTTGCTGACCGGAAAGGAAGTCGCATGACACTTCACATCCAAATATTAACACGCATAACCAAATTCGCATCGACTGCAGTGTTCAACAACACCTTCAAATGGCACATAACACTGCTTCCAAATTGCACAACATCAGACAAATATGCAACCACACCAGGCAACCCGACAGAGATTATGTATTCACCAACGATGACATTACACCCACACTTTGTCTAGATGCATATACAAAGGAGTAATTATTCACATAAGTTAAGCAATACCTAGAAATACGTCATTACCTAAGTGGAGAATGTCACACATCACTGACATATTCGATTACATTCTCCACGTTTATCGGGACGCAAGTACAAACTTCCCATAACTGACGTCGACTTATGACAATTGCATCCTACATGACGACAATAATACGAAGACACAACGATACGCTCGCGCTCACCAGAATAATACACTGAGGTTCAAAACAAAATAGGAAGCATTCGGTACCCTCACATAATCAATTCTTTATTTTTTCTTGTGTTCTACAGGATGCGCTTTCTTTTCTCTTCTCTTCTGCTCCTTGACGAGTTGTTTGAGCACTTTTTGCTCCTCCATCATGAATGCACGTATTACACTATCAGAAGGTTAAGATGAGTGACAACTTACCGATTGCGAACACAGGTATGGCAACGTGATCCCCCATAAGGCCGATTGACAGTCTTCAATCGTTTGCTCATTGAAGTCCTCTCTCTAGGCCTTGAAGGCTTAATACCAAAAAGTTTGATTTTGCAGTCGCCGCATTTAGGAAATGTCCCTCGCTTTTTTACATAAATGTAGACAACTTTTCCTCCAGGAGTTTTGACTCTGAAAACAGAGAGAACCGAGAAAAAGAACATTACTTGAGACTAGTATTGCCCCAACCTAGCACAAAATAAAACTAATTCCAGCCTAGCTAATATTTTTTTCTGTTGAATATGACTGCTGTACCACTATACGGCGGTATACAGTCATTATCCATTTACTGTACCTCCACTAACTAGCTTGACACATCTCAAGCAATGGGTGGGAGGAATTATTTACAAACATGGACTACTTATCAAAAACAGGCTAAAACAATTTACTGTGCACAGCAACGAAACCACTAAGTTCTAAAGCAGGTGTTACGCGTGCAGTGACCAATCTCACCCGTAACATTGGTAGAAATTGTTGAGTGAAATATAATTGAATGTGAAACGGCTCACAAAACAATCCAGTTGTCACCGAGCATGTGTAAGCCAAATGATTACCGTGCCGGAGCTCGGTCAGTATATGGCTGTGGATTTTACCCTCATGACACTTTAGAGCAGGGAGATGATGTCCATCAAACTGCTCTTCGAAGAGGGTTAATTGCAGTGTGAAACACAGAAGTACCACAACAACATATATGGAACTTACTTCTTCCTCTTGTTGGAGTTGGTGTTATACGACAGCCTTCGCCTCAACGTTAAACGCTGCATGCTTGTCAACTAACCGAAAGGCGGGAGTGCACAGACAAACAAATCAGCTTTGTACGAAAAATTGAACATTCAAACAAAACTATTGAAACCCCAACAACTGAATTCTCGTCAGTTGGGTTGTAATAAGCTCTTATCGTGCCTTGACTGCAGTTTTATATAACATTGTTATCCCTACGACTGAGTAGTGGCTAGAAAACAAAACACACTGGATTTTTCATAAAGTAAGATAAGATAATAGCTTTATTCCAAATCAGTACTTCTGATACAGAATGGAATTCTCAGCATTTTTACTACAATATCATCCAGTTAGTACATTAACAATAAATAAAGTTGGAAAAGTAGGTACTACTAGCATATTTACTGGCGTAAGCGATAGCAAAATGGTCGAGATATACAGAGTGTGAAAAAACGAAACAAGAATGTCTTAAGTAGAGTTTGCAAGGAGGAGAGAAACAAAACGGCACATAACAAAAATAAATACACAAAGAAAAAAAAGGTAGAGAGAAAAACGTTGTACCTGTAAATGATGTGAGTTGGAAAGACGAGATCCATTTGTTCTACTGACTATTTAATAAGTTATAGGTTTCACGCCTAATGCTTTCTTTATCATACACAGAACACGAGCTAGGTAGGGTATGGATGAGTTTTTGTACTTACTAGTGCAGGCATATAGTTTGTTATATAGGCTTCTGGTTTTCCCTGGAGAGATACAAGGGGAGAGTTGTAAATGTAGAGGGTGTTGTGTGTTAGATAAAATGGATTTCGCCCATTTTTCACATGAGTCCATGCGCTTGTCCACCAGAATATTAACGAGCTGGCTAAGTGGCAAACTGCTTACCCTGCTGACAACCTTTAACATCCTACGTAATAAGGTATAGTCTTTCTTCAATAGCCCAGGAAAAACTAGGGGGGAACAATAGAGAATAATAGGCAGAATACGGGAGTTAACAAATTGTAGGAGTAAGGGTTGGGTTACACCAGAAAGTCTTAACTTCTTGATGTAGAAGGTGGTAAGACGGAATATTTTCTTAGAAATCCTCAAGATATGAGCCGACCAGGAAAGATCAGAAGATAGAGTGACGCCTAGGTATTTAATTTCCGACTTGGTTTCAATTTCAGTGCCATCTATGTTGCACATCTCGTGAGTCCTAACCAGTTTGTTTAGGTCAGATTTGTGCTTAAAGGTGAAATTAACTGTTTGGCATTTGGAGGGGTTTAAGGTGAGACCGTTTTCATTGGACCACTGACTGATTTCTGATAAGAAGCCATTTAGTTTATAGCACTCACTTTGACACTTGACAGGCAAAGATACAGTCAGGTCATCAGCATATTTGACGAAGTTAATGTCATTTGAAGATGGTAGGTCATGTAGAAAGAAGAAAAAGAGAAGTGGGGAGAGTACAGCACCTTGGGGGACAGCAGCTTCAGTGAGCACAACAGAGGAGGATTTGCCTTTGTATACGGTGTACTGCGTTCTGTTTGAAAAGTAGGAATGCAACCAGTTAGTGACCCAGGACTGAGTTTGTGTAATAAAGAGCTGAAGTCAAGAAACGTGCAGCGGACATATTTGGCACCTTTATCTAATGATGAGACGATACTGCTGTGTAAGATGGCTGCAGTGTTAAAGTACTCCTACCCTGTCTGTAGGCAAATTGTTTCGGGTCTTCGAAGCTTTTAAGGGAGGGTTCGAGTTTAAGAAGTACTAGTTTTTCCATGAGCTTTAGAAACGGGGAAGTAATGGCAATGGGTCTGAACTTTACGTTCCTGCTATTTCCAGGTTTAGGGACAGGGACTATTTTAATGTCTTTCCATGGAACAGGTACAACGTTTTCGGAGAAAGAAGCATTTAGGATATTACTTAGAGGAGAACATAAAGTATCTGCACATTGTTTTAGAACATATGCAGGTATGCCATCAGGGCCAAGACTATGTGAGGGCTTAAGAGTTTTAAGACATTTTAAAACATCAAGAGTGTTAAAGTCCTGGAAGTTATCAGCTACAAGATTAGTAACGTTAGAAGTGGTTATAGTAGAAGGAGAGCGTATAAAAGACAGATTAAGAGCATTAACATCATAAGAGGGAAAAACATTACATCACTTACTATTGCCAGTAATTTAATTGAAAAATTTCTACATGCTGGTAGGAGATTTGCATGATAAAAGTGTTTGGTTATAGATAGCATTAAGATTTTTGAATTCAGATTTGATTTGAGCATTAATCTTTTTAAGTCCTAACTTGTCTTTGCATTTATATAACATTTCTTTTTGCCTGCGAAGTTGTTTGAGATGGGGAGACGAGAAGCGGTCGAGACGTTTGAACAGTGTTTGTTTGGAACAGCATATGTCGAGGCAGAACTTAAGATAATCCATTATATTGGTGATTGAGTCATCTGATGTACTTTCATAGAATAAATCCCAGTTAGTATTTTTTAACATGCATCTTAGATTGAGTAGGTTATCAGATGTGTAGCACCTTTGTTGTGCTTTCGTAGACAGGTGTGAGAAGACTTAGGCACTGTGGTACAGTATAACTCCATTATCGATAAGATTTTATTTTGATAAATCACACAGTGTTGACGTTTCGAGCACAAACTATTGCTCATAATCATATCAAGTAACTCTTTTTGCTCTGAGGGCTTTCGACTACCGCACTACATTTCCCTAATTTTATAAAAACTCTCGTTTCTGTAAAATTTCATGCCAAGAGTTTGTGGAAACTATTACAATTATTTACCTTTCGAACACTAAATCCGAGGATAAAATCTCACTGACAGATAATACCTATTACTAACTATTTGGATCTGTGAAATTTTTAAACATAAACACATCTATAATTGTATATATTTTGGATTTACATGTTCAAGTTGTTCCAATACAGCGAGTTTATGGTTGGGATATCACTTTAGCTAACTGTGCTGAGCTATATTGCATGTTGTTGTATTGTATCGTTGCCTACTTTCATGAATGAAATCGACTACAGAGGCGGTCGTACGCACCGACCTCCCTTCATCAACTAGCACTGCGGACATTCAAGCACATATTTTGCCACATCTTCTCTGACATCTGGCCAGTGCACGCTTTATCTCAAGAGATCAGTTGTTCTGACTACTCCTGTATGTGCTGGCTGGCGACGTTCTTGCGTCATCTCATAGCTTGGAGACTGAGGTATTACCGCCAACCAGCTTCCGTAAATCCCTCTGCAAGTCAGAGTTCTATAAACGTTCACTCTCAGTCGACCCCTCTGTCTTAGTAGCATAGTCGGATCCTCACTCGCCGTAGGTTGATACACTTCTGTTCCGTTAATGATCACATGTATCACTGTGTTCAGAATAGGCTCCGAATTCAGACGGCGAGCAAATCTTAATGGATCTTCTTACAATCCTTCCACCTCATAAGCAATCTTTCGAAACCCAGCTTCATCTTCTGGTCTAGATAAGAAATCTGCCAAAGAAGTTCCGTTGCTGGGGACATGTGAGATGATGAAGTCATACTTCCGCAGGCACAACATCCACCTGGACAATTTCCCACGTGGGCTTTTCGCCATCATCAAAAAATCTAGCGACTTGTGATCAGTTACTATGCGGAACTGTTGGTAGAGTAGATACGGTCTCCATTTCACTATGGATAAAATTTTATTTTATTGCAGGCATAAAGGACAAAGCCGAGACAAATCAACACCAGCGAAAAGATCAGCGTCGAAAAGCACCGGGACAACGTGAAAACGGTGTGGAGTCAAACCTGCATGGAAGTTCTAGGCAGAGAGAAGAAACAGGACAAACAGTGGCTCACTACGGACATTTGGAAACTAACAGAAGAGAGGAGGACAGTGAAACAAAAGATTATCCAGTGCACTGACGAGCAACAAAATCAGGAGCTGAATGCAAGCTACAATACACTGAACAAAAGAGTGAAGAAGAGTGCCACGGAAGACAAAAGAAAATATTATGAAACCATGGCAAACGAAGCAGAACAAGCTGCAGGCAAAGGAGACCTCGCAACACTCTACCAAACAACTAGACACCTATCGGGCAAAAGTTCGACACAGATTAAGCCAGTAAGGGATGACAATGGAAAGTCAATCACCAAAGAGGTGGAACAGAGAAAACACTGGGCTGAACACTTCAAAAGACTTCTAAATCGACAGCCACCTACGACGCGCCCAACAATACGAACAACGGAAGCAGAACAACCAGTGAACATCGACACCCCGACGAAATCAGAGGTCCTGAATGCAATCAAGATGCTAAAAGCTAGGAAAGCACCAGGACCAGATGGAATCCCAGAAGAAGCATTGAAAATGGACCCAGGGACAACAGCGGACTTGATGACGCCATTGGTGGAGAAGGTGTGGAAACAGGGTAAAGTGCCTGAGGATTAGAAGAACCGATACTTACTCAAACAAACTGTCAGTCAAGTAAAGCGAACGGTTAATGCCCAGCTCTTGCTGCACTCGGGCTCACGATGTTCCTTGAAGTTTCTCAGAAACGCTTAGTAATAACGGACGCAAAAACCAAAGCACCAATTGACGACTCGAGTATTGTTTGTTGTTAAACCAACATATAAACACTGTTACAACTAAGTTCTGTGAACAAATATTACAATAATAAATCACAATATTACTTCTGATGGTTTACTGCTGACTTCTTTCTGAACAGCGACCGATGAGACGATGACTGTCGTATTGATGCCTCCGCGAAAATTGGGGAAGTTGATTTTGAGCAAACAACCATGAATTGAGCGTACTTCACAAAGTTTATTTCATCAGAGTGAGGCAAGTCATGCAAGAAGAAAGAAAAAAGAAAAGGAGAAAGAACAGCGCCTTGAGGGACACCAGCTTCAGTAGGCAATGAAGTGGAAGACTTCCCTTTATATACGGTGTGCTGCTTTCTTTCTGAGAAATAGGAGTGTAACCAGTTAACAGCCCGAAATTCTGTTTGACTTGCAGCAAGTTTATTTAATAAGATACCCCTAGGGACCGAGTCGAAAGCAGATGTATAGTCT